TTTTTTTAATATGCAGTTAAAAGAAGAATCATGAGATTTTAATAAAACAAAAATTTATAATTACTTACTTTCAATATCATTTAATTTCCATTATTTGATGAATCGTCCATAGATTCAATTTGATTATTTTTTCGCATCACAATTCGATTCGTTATTGTATTGATAGTTTCTGTCGATAGCTTTTCAAGTTGACTTAAAATAATATGTAAAGTTGGACGCTCATTTTGATTAGAAGACCAGCATTTTTCAAAGAGTTCAATGTAACTCGATGGGGTATTAGGAACAATTTCGGGTCTTTCGTTAACTAAAAGTTTAGAGATGACACCATAAACATTTAAAGTGTTAAATGGAGGAGTTCCACTTGTGAGCTCCCATAGCAACATTCCAAGGCTATAAATGTCAGATTTTTGGTTGCGTTCATTTTTGCCTTCTCCCAAAAGATATTTTGGGTCGGTATATGCAGCTACACATTGCATAGTTGAATTTGAATTAGGATCTTTGATATTTTTTGATAGCCCAAAATCTGCAATTAGAGCCTTTCCTTCGTTTATAAGAATATTCCTGGAGTGCTATAGAGATATAGATTATTAAGATTTTATTGAATTAAATCATTTTGTAATTATAGATAGGTTTTATTTTAATAATGTTAGCTAACAATGTTAATAAATAATTAGCAAATAATTTAAATTAATTACTAACAAATAATTTTAGAAGTAATTTTTAATGAAACAATTAATTATGCTTAATTGCACCAATTTTCTTTTTATTAATAGATAAAATTTAAATTATTTGCTAGTTTTCCATCCCTATTTTTTTTTTTTATAAATTAGAAGTAATAACTTACTAAATCACGATGAATTATTCCTTTTTCGTGTAAATATTTCAGTCCATTGGTAATTCCTTTAGCAAGATTAATGAGTTCATCCCATGAAATTTGATAAAGATTCTCCCTAACTTTACTTTTTAAATATTCACGTAATGTTTTATCAGCGAGCTGTAAAACTAACAGCAAATTACCCGTTTCTGGATCTAAAAAATTCATTAAAATATGGTTGATCAAGTTATATACATTAATTTAAATTTAAAAACAAAATTATAACTTTTATCATACTAAATGAAGCTCCATAAAGTTTAATAATATTAGGATGGTCAATATTATAAAGATTTATAGTCTAATAAAATATATAATTATGTTAATGAAAGTATTGACATTGATTTTTAAAAAAAAACATCTGAAAAAAACATTACTTCTCTAGTGAGATGCTTGAACAGTTCCTGACTTATGTCTAAATTGTTGTTAAAACTCTTTACCGCGTAAACTTTGTCTTCAAAAGCAGCTGAAAATACCATTGCCAAACTTCCTCTTTGGATACATTTTAATTGTCTAAATCGCGAATGGTCAAATGCTCTTACATTGTTATCACACAAAAACTTTATTAATTTATACGAATATTTGTAAGCTAATGTTAAAGATTTACTGAATTAATATACTGTATGTATTGTAAATGCATAAGATAGAAATTAAATTATTATCTATTTAACTCACGTATTTCTTCACCGATAATTATATTGGAAAAAGGAGGTTCACGAGCCATTTTTCAAGTTATTTTATCGGTTAGAACGTAACAGGTAAGAAATATGAGAATATAATAATAAATTGAAAATTTTACGGAGCTTTTTTTTTGTCACTCCGAAAATTGTACGACATAAATACAAATACTGAAGTTTAAATCATTTTTACTTATTTCTCTTAAATCCACCCAATTCACATCATTAATACTATACAGTAAAAGACTTCTTTTAAGTTAATGGTTTCATGAAAGAGCGATGTAGGCGACATCCTTAGTATAATATAGAGAAAAGGTTTTATCATTAAGTAAAATGTCTAAATATCGGCGCTTCACATCGGAGATAAAACAGGTTTACAACCGGAAGGAATATATTCACCGGTTGCACAAACAATTCGAGAGAAAAAAAAAAAAGAAAATAGGTAAAATGAATATAACTTTAAAAACAAACAAACTTAAAGTAAAAGGTTAAGACTAAAATTGTCTTGAAACTCAAGATTCT